TTTTTTTTTTTTTTGAGGGGCTTGCATGTTTGAAAGTTTTGTTATACCCCAGTTCTTTTACTGGACAGATCTGAGTAAGGAAGGAGTCCGTCCTTCTTGATTTTAGTGCTGGTTTATTTACAAATATATATAAAAGGATTACAGAACACAACCCAGGGCTCCCTCCTTTAGACAAGCTGCTGGAGAAGAGAGCAGGGAAAAAAAGCACCCAGAAACACAGAGCCTAATACATTTATCAGTTTTGGGCTAACCCCTTAAAATGTTTCAAAATGTTGAATTAATTGTAACCAAGAGGTTCCTACTTAAAGGCTTTATTTTGTAATATCAAAAGGAAGTGTGGCGTGTGTAAATCGTCAGACTTAACACTGGTTGGGAGGAGGGCGGTGTTTCCATCGGAGATAGTCCGGTTGAACGGAGCCGTAATAGCTGACACATTTTCTCCGTGTATCGAGCAAATGCAGCCAAACTAAAAGAAGAAGAGCGTAAGAAACTTAACAAGGTAGGTTTGACTGGTTGGTTTTTGTTTTACGCATTCGGACTCCCTGTTAAAATACAGAACATCAATTAAAGTTTGAATTATTGATAAAACGTATTTAAAGTTAGGTTTTTGCAGTTTAGGATTATCACAGATTAACAATGGCTGTGTTTTCTCCAGCACTAGCGAGATTGTGTGCCTGTTTTATTGTCCTTTTCCCAGCACAACACGACTTTACAACGACCATAAAATCGTTTCTAAACAAAATCCGTGTAACGTTTCTGTGATGTTGCTGCAGTTTGTGTGTGGTGTCGTTTAGCTGCTGGATTTCTGTAAAAATATTATAGGATTAAAGTAGTTGTTAAGGCTTAAGATAAACTAAAGCATAGAGCAGGCTCTGGGAAGTTCTTTCGAGTATTTCTGAAGGCTTTTAAGGATTTAAAATTTGCAGACTGCATCGTGTTCAGCACCATGGACAGCTCTGGAGTACAGTCACACCGGCACACACAAGTGCACTACACAAGCCGAAAGACAGCAACACAACCAGTGACCCACTGGCCGTACATTAATTTGATACATCTCAAAGTTGTAGTTCTCCTAAAAGAAGTGCCACCCTCCAATTCTCAGTCTTGTTTAAGAAGTTTATCTGGTTGTTAAACAGGGCAAGCAGTCTCACCATGTGCAATCTGTCATCTTTGGATGGATCCATAGTGGGTGTTTACATGTATGATCTTTTATATATGTCTTATACACAATATAGACTAAAGTATTAGGACACCTTACCATTTCACGAACAGGGACTTTAATGTCATTGCATTCAAATGCATAAACTATAATATGGAGTTTGTTTCTGTGTCTGTAATGGAGACCTCAAAATAAACACTTATTTCTCAAAATGTTCTCAAACAGTAAAAACAAAAAATAAAGTCCTTCGTGTATCATCACGTGTACACGTCTGTGAGCCATATTACAATCAATTCCAGGAAAAGAGTGTTTTACAAATGTTGGGCCCTCCCTGCTTCCTGTCCTTCCCCTGTAGCTGTTTTAATGTCAGCAAGGGCAAGGAGCTCAGGCCTACTCTTAAACCGATCAACATATGTGCACACACATTTGTGTTTTTGTACTGGGCAACCTGGTGTTGTTTGTAACCAGAAGTAAACAGAGTTCAGTTGGAGCAGGAGCTACTGTACATACATTGTGTAAAATGTGATGAGCTCTGTTCTGTGCACTTTGGCTGCTGCCACTTTATCAGGATCATTCAAACACAATTGTCTACAACAAAGCTAGTCTACAGTCAACAAAACGCTTCTTGGATTGTTAGTGAAATGGTTACATTTGTCCAGGATGCAGGTAAAACAGGTGTTTGATTGTCTGTAGGTGAAATATGGGGAACATGAACCCAGGGTGCACAAGTCATTAGCTTCCTGGTGAGAATGGTTCCTGCTTTGATTGGCACAGCCCTGATTTCCCACTCCTCCTCCCCCTGCCCCTTAGCACCCATCAATCACTACCGTCACCCTGCCCACAAAAGGTGAGAAATTACCATCAGCCTCCAGTCCATCCTACTACATCAGATGAAAACACACAGGCATACTCAGAGTAACATTTTTCACCTTGTCTCGTTCAAACCACACTCACACTGTTTAATTTATTTGTCTTGTTATTTGTTCATCTGGGTCTTTTTATTCCACTCTCCTTGTCAAATATCAACATAATCACCTATAAAAATGCCAGTTGGTAGAAAAACTGCAATATCCAAGAATGCTCTGTTATATCGGTCTTCTTTTTTTCTATTAATTTTGCTCACTCCTTAGATGTCAGCAATAAAATGAGCAGGGAGATTGCATTTGCATTCTGTTCTTGGCAACTGTTTTTACCCTGTTTTTTACCCTTTTACCCTGTAGGATTTTCATTTACAGATTTGTTTTGGATATGCACTTCTAAAAGCTGATCATGTTTGGATGGCACATCATTTGCCAACACAGACTTTTTATAAATGCCACAGTTTGTCATCTTTAGTTAATGCTTTCGACTCAGGGAGGGGCAGATGTTTTTAGAAGCCTTGCAGGATGTTGATCTCAGCAACTGCATAATTGTGCTACCTACAGAGGTGTCGCTTGACTTTACACTCAACAAAACAAAAAAGAATTGCAACAAAGACCAATGACTCAATTAGATTTCATTCCTTTAACTTGAAATCACTAGATATGAAGCTTGAAGATTTAAAAGGTGTATTACAAAGCCATGTGCATGAATCGGTTCTCCATTTTCCTGACGTTGTGTATTTTGAAACAGTCTAGCAGCAGCCAGTCTCAGTGCATAAGCAGGACTGAACGTTACATTTTGCAGGGCACCTCAGCACACCGAAGACTTGTTGAAGAAACAAGTATGTAAGACTTGGGTCGTGACTTTGGACTTCATAGCCAAGACTTGACGCTTGTGACGAGCAAAATGATGCCTTTGTCTCAGCTCTAGCAGCTTTACGGCACTCTGAGGAGTTTTAAACCAGTAGCACAATTGGTTTCATGCTATGGTGGTAAAGTGCCAATAAAAGTACAGATGTGCCATCAAATGCAATAAAGAAGATGACTTCTAGAAAGTAAACTTGAACGTATACAATGCAAAACTTAAAATATTATTTGTTCTATCTCAGGAATACACACAGTGCATTTTGGCTTCTCTTGTTTGTTTACAAGAAAACTCTACTGCACCTTTAACATTGTCTGATCGCTGTCAGCTCAAAGGGCAGACCCCACCTTTTTGTGAGCCTGATGCTCTATCAACAAAATGCATAATTTCAGAAAGTCTGATATGTTTCCCTCTCACTGATCAGGATGACATGACAGATACAGGTAGAGTATGTAGTAATGTGATGCTCATTAAGCATACCTTTAAGGCAAGGTTAATGTTTTATGGTTTAAAAACATCTTTGCATCAACATTTAAATGATCAAATAGTTTTGTCATATGGTAGGATCCCCTGGAGGTTTATGTGCTTATTAGTTGTGTGTGCATGTCTGTATGTTAGGAGATCCCGTTTGGGACTGTTGCATTCAGATATGTGGAATGAGCAATATTTTTACATGGCTTTCTTCCTCCTCTATGATATGAATGTACAGGCTCCTGGATGTGTAGCTAGATCTATTTTAATATATGTCTCTGTCACCACTGTGTGAGCTTAAGTAAGTACAAATGAACAGCATGTACAGAGCTGCATGTTGACAGGTGTACATTTGAATATGTGTATGCGAGAAGAGAGCAGAGAAGAAACAGAGGAAAGGAGGGGGTGGTGGAGAGTGTGTGTGGTTGTGTGCACTCTAGGTCTGTGTGTGTTAGTGAGAGCAGAAGTGAGAGAGGCTGAGAATACCAAAGTGAAAGAAAAGGGAAAGCATATATGAGGGAGGGACAGTAAAAGAGAGCAAGAGAGAGAGTGGTGTGTATCTTATGTAAGTGTTGTGACGCGCGTGTGTGTGTGTGTGTGTGTGTATTCTGTAGGCCCACAGATTAATCCGGTAGGTTTTATCCTCTGTGAATGGGACAGTGGAGTTTTGCAGTGATTATCCGTGCAGGTCACAGATGATTGCTTTGAGTCTTCTGTACGTCTCACACTTCTATGCGTTCCTGCTTGCATTCCGCTCTGTCTGCCTAATTTGTTATGGGCCTGCTGATGTTGACAGGTTATAAAAGTTGAGATGTTTATAGGGGGCTGTAGATCATCCTAAATGCATAATTGTATAATGGATGTATCCTTCTGATATCCAGTAGGTCAGACTGTTTCAAAAGCTGCTTCACTTTGAAGTTGATGTGTATTTTCTTCCTTTCAGACTGACCACTTCACCTCTGCATGTCCATCTCTACTCTGGTTAATTTTGTCAGTCTCAGTCCCAACCCGCCTGCCATAGCTTTCTGTCTGTTGTGGTGGTATATTATTGGAAAATGTCATAAATGCTTGGGCATTTATCCCCCAAATTTCCTCAGTGATTTTCCACTGCAGATTTCTCCATGTATGTCCCTCCTGCCCCTCCTTGGGGAATATTCTAATTCCGCGGGGCCATATTGTCATGGCAGGCGTTGCTGTGGGCAGAAAACCAACTCTGCATGTCTTGCTCCATTCATATTCAGCCACTGTAGTCAGCCTGGATGCAAATCAGGAGGCTCAATTATAAAGATATCTTCTGAACATTTGACATTTTTCCTGCATTTTTGAGTACTTTGAATTTACTGTAAATGTATTTAGCTGAAACAATGAAATAACTTTCTAGAACTCTTTCTCTGGCTCAGGTAAACAAAAGCATTTAAAAATAAGAAGAAATTCTTTATGTGTGTGTGTGTGGCCAGTGGTACTTGCATAGTATATTAGCAGTCAGCCATAAAGTGGTGTGTAAACTGTTGGAGTGGTTTAGCCCTCATAGTCCCATCATGCTCTCTGACCTGGTCTTGTCTTGGCATATGTGGTTACTTATATGTCAGTGATGTGGAGGTGCAGCATTTACAGCATGCACTGGTGGTTTGTGTGTGACTGTACAAAACTGCATTAGAAAATATCTTCTTATTCTAACAGAATTTAAACATGCATGAATTGATGCATATTTGTAAACAAACTAATAATAAATGGCATATTTGGTGTACTTGAGCATCCAATGATATCAGATGTACTGTAGACACACATACACAGGTGGCACATGTTGCATTAATAATGTTGACCTGGCCCTGTCCAGGAAATAATGAAACATGGTTCTGCTTTGATGTGGTGAGATGTTGGAATGTCTCATCCTTGCACACACCTTGAACCAGTTCTTGCTGTGTAAGTCTTTCAGTTCCTCAGCGCCGGGAAGTGTTAACCTTCATAGAATACACACAGAAACACACTGTAATTCATAGTGTGACATTGTGGGTGTACAGTCTCCTCCACACATGCAATTGACAGACAGGCCTCTTATAACATGCCTGTTATAATTACAGTGATATATGTAAAGCTGTGATTATTAGCTACATTTACAGTCTTGTTTGCATGTTTTTGCATCA